TACTTCTGAGACTTCTCCAACATAAGGAACCACCTCAGGGCGTGAGTCATCAAGCAGGCACAAAAGGAAGAGAAGGGGCTTCGAAATTAAATGACAGAGGTCTGGAGTCTCTGTTCAGGTACCCACAGCTGTGTGACTCTGGGACAAGGCTGTTAGGGAGACACCATGCTCCCTCTGTCACAGGGGGTAATGCTATAGTGTTCTTGTTGTGTTAGAATTTCAGGATCTAATAACAACTGTGCCTGTAGTATGTACCAGGCACAGTGTAGAGCCCAGAACTGTCGAACCCTTTGACATTGCAACACGGTGTTGCCATCTACAAACATATTGGATCATCGCCATAGCTATCCTTGGACATATGAGTTAATGGGCAGCAGGATGGGCATACCTGGTAGGCAATCAACATAGACAGCTTTGCTTGGAAGTCAACCAATGGGACTCCAGACTGAGCTCAAGTGAACTGACTGCTCTGTTCATAAAATGTAAGTGCAAAGGGCTGGACTCTGAGCTTTTGTCCTACTGACCTGACAGTTCCTGGTATGTACCTCACTTCCTCATCCCATAGACTCGATGATCATAGCTGACACAACTTAAGATTAGGCTCAGCTGTATAGAAAAACGACCTAAAACAACAGGAAATAAAACAGTGTCAACTCCAACCCCAAGCTAAACTTCAGGTGCCAGACTCCCTTTCTTTCTCCTTAAGTTAATTTTCTCAGGGTATTTTATGCTAGCAGCAGAAGTACAATTAATACAGTGGTCCAAAGAGACTCCTGGTTTCAAGATAACTAAGTCTGCAGTGCCTTCCTCCTCTTTCTCTTTGTCCTCTTCTTCCTCTTCCTCTCCCCTTTCTCCTCCTTCTCTTCCTCCCCACTCCTTCTCTACCACACCTGACCACAAGCTTCTTGTGTTTTCTTGCTCCACCCTTTACCCAATAGCCAATGTTGTGTTCAGTTGAAACAATCATGTTACATTCATAAAGTCAGACTGGTAAGGCAGCAGGATCACAGCTTCCTTTCAAAGATACGTCCTGGCTTGGGGGTGGTTGTGGCACATCTTTAATCCCGGAACTCTGGAGGCAAAGGCAGGAGGATCTCTCTGAGTTCAAGGCCAGCCTGGTCTACATAGTGAGTTCCAAGTTGGCAAGGACTATCTTGAGAGACCATGTCTCAACAAGCAAATATACAGCAACAACAACAAAAAGACTTCTAAAGAAATGTCCAGGAAGTTGCCCACAGAACTTCTGTCTTCATTCCACTGATGGGAATTTTGTCATATGGTTTCACTCAATTACTAAAGAGGTTGGGAAATAGCATTTTCATCTTAAACAGTCACGCACACACTAAAATTTGTTAAGGCCTGGGAGTTCAGTGTGGGGACAAAGCGCTTGCTTAGTAAGGGGAGGCTCTGGATTCAAGCTCCATCAATGGAAAACAAACAAACAAAAACCAAACAACAACAATAATAATTTTTTTCAAAAATTTTATGAAAACGAAAATCTGCTGGAAATTCACCGGCCCCTGATACAGCGTCCTCTTGCTCTGCTTCCTTGCTTTCCTAGTAGTCTGTCCACTCATGAATTGAAGGGTCGGTCACTTCCACGAGAAAGGATTACTTTCTTCCCAAAGGCCTGTTTGTTCTTGTAGAACATTTGTCTCTGGTTGGGCTCACACATTTGGTGTGATTACTTGACTCCTCAATCCTAAAGAATTAGCTAGATGTTAAGGCTCATGTCTGTAAGCCTAGAACTTGAGTATCCTAGTCAGGAGGATTGCCATGAGTTTGAGTCAAGCCTGAGCTTCATAGCAAGACTGTCTAGAAAAAATGAGGAGGAGGGTGTAATAAATGTGAACAAATATGATGAGGACAAGGATATTGTTTGACTTTATATACTACTTTGCTCTCATTGCTTAGTATAAATTAAAACATAGTCAGCACACAAGTCAGTGAAACGATGAGTTTAAAGGAAACTGCTCTTTCTATAGACCTATGAAGTCCCTCTCCTCTTTCTTCCCTTCCCCTCCTTTCCCACTCCACATACACATTTAAAAGGAATAAACATGAATGAAAATACTACTATAACATACATGAATATGAAAATAATTATGCTGAGCAAAAGAATTCAAGAAAAAGAGATTACTATGTGATTTTTGTGACTCTAAATTTCTAGGAAATGCAAACTAACCTGAAGTGTCCAGGAAATAGATTTGTGACTGCATGGGAACCATGAGGGATTGGGCAGAGAAGGAGAGATTAAACATAAAGACACTTAAGAAAATCTGGATCGTGGTATGGGGGCAATGGATGTGTTTCCTGCTGTGCCTGTAGTGTTGAGGGTTACCAAAATACATTTAAATATGTACAACTTATTTTATGCCATTTTGCTTACACAAGGTTCTAGTAAGACATTTATTATAACATAAAAGAATTGCTGTCAATTGTCAAAGGATTAGCATACCAAATACAAAAAAAAAGATAAAATAATAAGCCTTACTTAGTAAAGAGAGTAGCCTAAAATGTGTTTCTAGGCATGTGGTTCAACATATTAACAGACTTAAAGTCACCATGGGATCTCAGTAAATGAAAAAAAAAACAATAAATATAACATTAACAAATCAGTAATATACAGGAATCCTCTCACTGAATAATTTTAATAAATTATTACTTTCCATAAATGAATAATTTCTACCTAATACAGACACATTATATTTTCTGTTAAAATCATAAATGAGGGCTGGAGTACTAGCTCATTGGTTAAGAGCATTTGCTGCTTTTATGAAAGTACTGGATCTGATTCCCAGTACCCACATGGTGGCTCACAACAGTTTGTCACTTCAGTTCCAGGAAATCTGATGTCTCCTGGTTTCTGAGGGCACCAGGCACATTCATGATACACATACACACATGCAGGCTAAACGTACCCATACGCCTTTAATTCCAGCACTCAGGAGGCAGAGGCAGGAGGATCTCTGAGTTTGAAGACAGTCTGGTCTACAGAGAGAGTTCCAGGACAGCCAAGGCCACATAATGAAATCCTGTCTTGAAAAACCTCACAAAAATCAATAAAGTTAAAAAAAAACAATAGAAAGATGGTTTCCATCACTGCTTCATCCATATAGTCAATACTGGACAAGTGGCTTGAGCCAATGGAATAGGGTAAGAAAAGTAAGTGATGTGCAATCTGAAAGCTTATCAACCAGATTGGAAAAGACATGTTATCAAAAACAGAAAGTCTCTAAAACTACATGAACACTAGCAAAATGATGAGAATTTCTCAATGTGGGATATTTTGGTAGGAATCAAAGCGTACAAGGGTCTATCATAAATAAACCTTGTTACAGTAGCAGTAGTAATAAGTAGCTGGTGTCCAATAAAAACTGACTCTACCAATTCAACATTTAGTATTTTAAAATGAATTATACTTTATTAACTACAATATCATCTGTGTATAATTGCAATGTAAATGATATAGTATAGTACATTAACTGGATCTGTGAGCTCCACACTGTAGATTCAACCTTTTAGAGACCTACAGAATATGGCATTTAAAGTGGTTTAGGGTTTTTCATGACTGAGACACAACTGACTGGCAACACCAATTACTTCAGAGAGGAAGATGGGCATCGAAGGAACTTGTTATGTAATTTGCCTTTGACATAGCAAGACTAGGCATTTGGGCAAGAAACTGCTCTATGCTGTCCAAACTGGACAAGCAAGACTCACAGAAAAGTGACTACTAAATTTTACTAAAACAAGATGGGACAGTCCTATAGGGTTCCTGCTTCATGGAAGAGTCTTCCAGACATTTTACAGGACATAGAAAAAAATGACTGATAAACTGCCAATACAGGTGGGACAGTTTGAAATTTCCTGCTTCACTGAGAAGTCTGCCAGACACACTGTGGCCTATGGGCTGAAGATAGATGCTCCAACATTACAGAGGAACTTTGGATGACTGTCCAGACAGCAAGATGTCTCTGTCAATTCTAGAGTTTACATATTATCCTTCTGTGGTCTTTGATGGAGTTGGAGACAGATAGTTATGGTTATGATTTCATTAGTTATGATAAAAGATGTTACATATAAGACTTTAGACTCAAGATAGGATAGATGATAGAATATTTTCTTTAAGTTTTGCCAAATGTTAATGGACTAAATATTGTTAACTATAATAGTTCTTACTTGATAACTGCTTTTCATATATTATTTTACTATGTTAATGTTAAAAACCTTCTTTTTATTTAGACAGAAAAGAGGAGATAATGGTGATGTCCTTCTATATACGTTTCTCTTATTGGTTGATGAATAAAACACTGTTGGGCCAATGGTCAATGAGGCAGGAAGATAGGCAGGACTAGGAGAGGAGGAGAAGTCTGGGAAAGGTAGGCAAGAGAGCCCACCAGCAGAGTCGCCATGTAGCAGGCAAAGGAGTTGTAGGTCCAGCATTCTCCGGTAAGCCAAGACCACATGGAAGTACACAGATTAATAGTTATGGTTAATAATTAATACAGAGCTAGCCAATAAGAAACCCAAGATATCGGCCAACAGTTTCATAATTAATACAGCGTCTGTGTGTTCATTTGGAGCAAGGCGACCACGGAACCAGGCGGGAAATCCCATAACAAATTTCAGATGGAAAATAAGCGGGAGTGTCAGTTTGTTTGTTTCAGGAGTGTGTCTCCTAGTAGGTTGTCAGTGCTCTGGTGTATATGAGCAGCAAATAGACTCAGTGGGTCATTAAAATAAGCAAAACAAAGACGTGAAATTAAGAGGTCACAGAGTGGGGTAGAGAGTTCTGGGAGAAGTTGGAGGTGAGAGGTGGAGGTGAATATGATTTTAAAAATACTATATATGTGTATATATAATTCTTAAATAATAAAAATTTTAAAAATTTACAATAGAAAAACAGATTTTGAAGTGAGTGTGAAAGTGGCATATTTTACCAATTTTAGTTTTATGTTAAAAATACAAAATTAAAAAGAATTATAGCAGCACTTAACTCTCAGTTATTCCATAAACAATACAGAACAATAACTATTTCTACAGTGTTTGCCTTGTATTAGAAGTAGTCTAAAGTACACAGTAGGGTGTGCATAGGCCATATGTGAATACATGCTGTCCCGGTTAGATTTTTGTCAACTTGACACATAGAGAAACCTCAACTGAGGAAATATATCAGATTGCCTATGGGGCATTTTCTTGATTAATGATTAACGTGTGAGACCCAACCCACTGTGGGCAGTGTCACCCCTGGGCAGGTAGTCCTGGCTTATACAAGAAAGCAGGCTTAGAAATCTAGGGGGGCAAGCCTATAAACAGCATGCTGCTTCACGGTCCGTGGTCTCTTCTTCAGGTCTGGCCCAGCTTGAGCGCCTTCTTTGGCCTCTCCTATTGACAGAATGTGATGGGGTTTTGTAAGCCAAGAGAACCTTTTCCCCCCACGAGCCGCTTTCAGTCATGTCTTCATCATAAAATTAGAAAGCCAACCAGGATGTGTGCCATTTCACACAAAGGACCTATGCATCCGTGGATTTCTATGACTAATCGTTTGGGGATACAGAAGGACAACTGTTTAAATAGCCTTGTCACAGTGCACAGAATATGCAGGTGTAACCCCCCCTCCCTGGTGGTCTGCATCTAATGGGTTGTGGCTTGCTGTCACAGAGAGTTATAGCCTTTGTATTATTACTTACAACAAACATGCTCCATCCCTTCATGAGGGTGTGTCTTAATTCCTTGCATCAGACAGAGGAGATGAAAGTTTTCTTTAGACTCAAGGAAGTTGCAATGTTTACATCTCAGAAGACAGACATGGTGGATCCTAAAATGCTTTGGGTGGAGAAAAGCAGAGGTTTTAGATTATAGATACTGTTTTCCAAGTTTACAGCAGTCTTGTGAGGCAAGCACTATTATTATCCAGGTGCCATGGTTAGGGAAACTGAGGCATAAATCACCTTTCCCAGAAACATACAATTACTAAGGGATGGAGTTGGGAGTTGGGATTCAGCCTCCATCTATTGGATGTTAGCACCTGAGTTCTTTTGTTCTCTGGTCTGAATTCCTCTAGAAGAGAAGGAGGAGGAAGGAGGGAGGAGGAAAGAGGAAGGAAGAGTAGTAGTAGTAGTAGTAGTAGTAGTAGTAGTAGTGTAGTAGTAGTAGTTGTGTAGTAGTAGTAGTGTAGTAGTAGTAGTAGTGTAGTAGTAGTAGTAGTAGTAGTAGTAGTAGTAGTGTAGTAGTACTAGTAGGAGGAGGAGGAGGAGGAGGAGGAAGAATTACTCTGTTCTTGTTTTTCACTAATTATCATTTTCCCTGACTTTTTTTCTCAATATATGTTTTTATTTAAATTAGAAACATGAATGTTTCACATGTCAGTCCCAGCTCCCTCTCCCACCCCTCCTCCCTTGTCACTCCACCAGTCCCCCAGCCCACCACCCAATCCCCACATCATTCCCTAGGGAAGGTGAGACACTCCTTGGGGGATCTCTAAAGTCTGCCATTTCATCCTGGGCAGAACCTAGGACCTTCCCCATGTGTCCAGGCTGAGAGAGCATCCCTCTGTTTGGAATGGGCTCCCAAAGAGAATTACTCTGTTCTTAATGACTACCTCAGACAGAACAGTTAAGTCAGTCATTCATACTGGCAACAACACCAAAATAGCATCTTTGAAGTGATATAGGACTGAATTCCTACTCTGACATTTCTCTTTGAATAACCTTAGGAAGTTTGTTACTTTACTTGTAAAATGATAGCAAGAATAGCAACACAACAACTCGACATGCTACTACATGCATGCAATCTCAGCATTTAGAAGGCTAAAGCAGTGGGATCATGAATCTGAGACCATCCCAGGGCTCAAATGAAACATATTGGGGTTCAGACTAGCCTTATCTACACAGCGAGATCTTGTCTCAGAAAAACAAAAACCAAATCAAAACAAGACACATGTTCACAGTCGTTCTGAAAACCATTTTGCGTGGAGTAGAAGAGAGTCAAGTCCTGAATGAATGTGTGCTATTGACATGAGAACAACCATGTCAAGGACCATAGTTTCAGACCCATGGGAAAATGGCAAAACCTCCTCCATGGGATGAGTGAGGGGAATTGCAACGCCTTCCCCTGGGTCATATATAGGTGCTGACAGTGTTGCAGAAAATGTCCACCATAGTTTCACCCCATGCATGCTTAAGACCACACAATTGCTTCCCTATGAAAACCACTTTTACCAAGATTAGCTAGTCCCATCTCCCTGATCTGTCTGTATCCATAAATTCTGCCTCCTTTTTTATCTGTATGTAATAACCCTGCCTCTTTGTTCAGCTGTGTGTAATAACTCCACCTCAATAGCCAACTGTATGTAATAAAGACACTAAACTTCCAAAGTCCTAAAACCAAGGAGACATCAGCTCAGTGAGCATGCTGAGAGCCAGGATTGCTTTTCTCAATGCAAGGATCTAGGGCTCCCTGGAGAAAGGGTGACTTCTAGGATTTGGGCTTTCAAAATAGATGAGCCTACTTCTGTCACAGCCACATGCAGCTGAAAATAAAATCCTTCTTTACTTGACTTTGGGCAACAGCTATCAAAAGCCTTAAGAGAACAATTTCTCTAACAAAATACAGCAGATATTTTATACCAAGTTTGGCCCAGTATTTTTTTGTATGGGGCAAACAAAAAAATTTTTTTACATTTTTAAAATAATTCATGACTGAGACCACATGTGGCCTATAAAACTTAGTATTTAGTAGTATTTGGAGAGAGTCTTCTGACTTGTTTTTGTATCATTAGCTACCTGTGTGCAGAAGAAAAAGCAAACATGGTTAAGGAAAAGAGATAGTGCTGCCTCTTTATCCTACAACCATGGCACTGCAGAAATAACCACCCTTTTTTAAAAAAACTATTTAATTCAGAAAAAAGAAAACAATTAGTGCTATCCATTTGTGTAAAGGTGTGCGACCACCCACTAGAGCATGGTCAATATACCAGGGACAATACCCTGAAGGAAAACTGACTCTTCCTTCCATAGAAGTCATCAATAGCCAATACCTACTCAGCTAGGAGTGGGGGCTCATACATCCCTCTGTTTTAGTTAGGGTTTCTATTGCTGTGAAGAGACACCATGACCACGCCAATTCATATAAAGGAAAGCATTTAACTGTGGTGGTTAGCTTACAGTTTGAGAGGTTTAGTCAATTGTCCTCATGGCAGGAAGCAAGTCAGCATGTGTAAGTGGATTTTTCTATCCCGCTAGCCAGCTCCCAAATAACCACATGGAGACTTCTTATTAATTATGAGAGCTCAGCTGATAGCTTAGGCTTGTCCCACTAGCTCTTATAACTTTAATTAACTCGTTTCTATTAATCTATGTGTTGCCACATGACTCATAGCATTTACCTGTCCTCTTGTATGTCCTGCTCCCTCTCTGTCTGTCTGGCAACTCCCCTGACTCTGCCCATCTTCTTTCCCAGCATTCTCTCTGAATCTAAAATCCTGCCTAGCTACCAAACAATCAGCTTTTTATTAATAATGACAGCAACACATTTTCACAATGTGCAGAAAGATTATTCCACAGCAAGCATGCCAGCAGATATGGTGCTAGAGAAGGAGCTGAGAGTTCTTACATTTGACTCACAGGCTACCGGAAGTGGTCTGTCTCACTGGGCATGGTCTGAACATATATGAGACCTCAAAGTCCACCCTTCATACTGGCACACTTCCTCCAACAAGGCCACACCTACTCCAATAAGGCCACACTTTCTAATAGTGCCACTCCCTCACCATTAGGGGGCATTTTCTTTCAAACCACTACACCCTCATGTGCTGGACTTGTTGACTGACTTGATCTTGTACAGGTCTTATTCAGGTAGATGCAGCATCTGGGAGTTCATGAGCACAGCAGTCCTGACATGCTCTGAAAATATTGGTTTGCCTCAGTCTCCCGGACCTTTGACTTTTATAGTCTTCCCACCCATTCTTCCACAATGTTTCCTGAGTTCTGGCAGCAGACCATATGATTGATGTAGATGTCCCAATTACTGATGAGCATTCCATGGACACATATTCTCTGCATTTTAACTAGTTGTGAGTCTCTGCAGCAACCACTTTGCACTGCACAAAGCTTGACGACCTTTTAAGATGATCTTAACATGCACCATCCTGAGACCCTAGGCTTATGGTTTCCATGTGTGTGCTTAGTGTGTTGCTTTCAAAGAGTAGGCTGCAGAAGATGAGGGAATGTGACTGTATGCAGATCGAGTGTCCCTTACATGCAATGCATGGGGTGAGAATTACTTCAGATTTTAGAGTTTTACATATTTTATAATATTTGCTTAGATGTTACATAGCTCAAGTATCCTAAATCCAAAAGTTCAAAATTAAAAATACTCCAAACTACAAAATTTTTAGCTGGGTTTGATAGTTCACGTCTGTATTCTCTTTCACTTAAGAGGTTGAGGCAGGAGAATTGTCATGGTTTCCATGCCAACCTGGGCCACAGAGTAAAAGCCCTGTCCAACAACTGGCAAAAACCTACCTTACTGGAGACTCTAGTGGGAAGGGGCATTTTTCCTCTCAGGCCTTTGTTGTGGAAATCTATGGGTAAAATATTAGGTAAATTAGGTACATGGGTATGTGTGTGGGGGAGTGCTTCCTTGTGATGGTGTGTGTGACAGTCAGAAGTTGACACTGGGTATCCTCCTTCATCACTCTCCATCTTATGTTTTTTTACCCTTTTTTAAATTTAAATTAGGAACAAGCTTGTTTCACATGTTAATCCCAGTTCCCTCTCCCTCCCCTCCTCCCTGCTCCCCACCGGCCCCTTATCCCACCCCTTACTGCTCCCCAGGAAGTGTGAGACCTTCCATGGGGAATTTTCAGTCTGTCATATCATTTGGAGAAGGGCCTAGACCCTTCCCTGTGTGTCTAGGTTGAGAAGTATTCCTCTATGTGGAGTGGGCTCCCTAAGTCCATTCATGTACTAGGGATAATGCTGATCCACTACTAGAGGCCCCATAGATTAACCAGACTTCCAAGCTGACATTCTCATTCAGGGGGGTCCGGAACAGTCCTATGCTGGTTTCCCAGCTATCATTCTGGGGTCCATGAGCTCCCCCTTGTTCATGTCAGCTATTTCTGTGGGTTTCTCCAGCCTGATCTTGACCCCTTTGCTCATCACTCCTCCCTCTTTGCAACTGGATTCCAGGGTTCAGCTCAGTGTTTAGTTGTGGGTGTCTGCTTCTGCTTCCATCAATTACTGGATGAAGGTTCTAGGATGGCATATAAGGTAGTCATCAATCTCATTATTGGAGAAGGGTATTTAAGGTAGCCTCTTGACTACTGCTTAGATTGTTAGTTGGGGTCAGTCTTGTAGATCTCTTGACAGTTCCATAGTGCCAGATTTCTCTTTTAACCTATGATGACTCCCTCTATTATGGTGTCTCTTTCTTATTCTCCTCTACTCTTCCCCTGAATTGATCTTCCTGCTCTCTCATGTCCTCCTCTCCACTACTCTTCTCCCTTTCTCTTTCTCCTAACTCCCTTTCCCCTCCCCCACGCTCCCAATTAGCTCAGAAGATCTCATCCCTTTCCCCTTCTCTGGGGGACCCTGTATGTTTCTCTTAGGGTCCCCCTTGTTTCCTAGTTTCTCTGTGGATTATAGGCTGGTAATCCTTTGCTCTAAGTTTAAAATCCATATATGAGTGAGCACACACCATGCTTGGCTTTTTGTGCCTGGGTTACCTCATTCAGGATGGTTTCTTCTAATACCATCCATTTGCCTGCAAATTTCAAAATTCCATTGTTTTTTTTTCCACTGAGTAATACCCCATTGTGTAAA